GTCTATAAGGGCCAGTACGCGACCGTCGCTCTCGGTACCTCGAAGGCGCTTGGCTACCGCATCCTTGTGCGTCTATTGAAAGCCCCGGAATTCTTCCACAAGGAACACTCGGTGTTTGCCACGTGTTGGAAGACGCCGGTGAACCACCTCTACCTCCCGGAGGTGCACTCCTTCGACCAGTCGCGGCTGTACTTCGCAATGGAATATTGCGGTGTCCCGTGTTCCGCCCTGCTGGAGCAGGGCCCGATGCAGGCGCAGGCGTGGGCGGCTTGTGTCAAGCAAATGATCGCAGGCGTAGGCTGGGTGCACACAGCCCTGGGCTTCTTTCACGGGGACATCAAGCCGGCCGCCATATACTTTCGGGCTTGCGATAACCGTGCGTTCGTTACCCATTTCGGCTTGGCGCAGAAGATCGATGGGGTGGGCGCAGGCGCAGGCGCAGTCGAAGGTGAACATGACACCGACGACCCGTGCTACGCATCGTGCTATACAGGGCCGTACAAGGCTCCTGAATTATGGCTGGCGGAAGGTTCCGAGCACAAGCCAAGCTACCAGACAGAATCCTGGGCAGTGGGCGCCACCGCGCTTGAGTTGGCGTTGGGGGCCCCCGTCTTCACCACTTACAACAAGATCAAGTCGTATGCCGAAGGAAATTGGGTTGCTGTTAAATACAGAATTTAATTTAAGTTACTCCCTATCTTTCTTGGGGCAACCCCATTGTTTACCAAACATACCCATCATGCTATGTTAAGTTAAATTCCGTAACAACAACCGAGGAAAACCGTTGAAGTCGCTAGCGGACGCGGCCCCAGCCGTGCGTGCCATCGTGGTCGAGTTTTTGCAGCCAGACCCCCGAAACCGCGTCTTGTGCGCGAATTACGGCGCATCCTTAGTGGCGTCGTCAGCGTAGGTCCCAGTCGCAGGCGCAATCGGAGTCGAAGCTGTCATGCTGGGTCGCAGGCATTCAAGTGCAGGTGATGAGAACGGCTTGCTGAGACATCGTGGCAAATTTCGCGATCGCAGTCGGAGGGGTCATGCTGCGTCCTAGGAATCGCGCAATCCACCTGCGCACGTAGCTTGAAAAAATGTCGGCATGCATAGCTGTTGTCCGCTCGGTAGGTGCTTGCCCCAATATTTGCATTGTTGTTGACATTTTGCCTCCTTGAACAAGTTAATTAGTGCCTGCTTCTGTCAGGCCAGCGGCATCACCTGCAGGCCTTTTTTTCGCGTGCTCACCAGGTGCATACATATGTTTAGATAAGTTGATACAGGTGTTAAACAATGATGGTATAAGTACTTTCCAGGATGAGCTTACACTTTAAACAATGATGGTAAAAGTACTTTCCAGTAACATGAGCTACGCTTTCTGAGTGAGCCGCTTTGAGGCCATTGATTGCAGCACGCAGTCCTTGTCCCCGGCTTGGGTTGCTTAGCATGGATATTGATTTGCATGCTTGGTGCTGCGGCTGAGGCACAGCGGACTTGCAAAACGTACATACGGGCTCAGGGCTTACACCGAGGCTTAATGATTTTCGATCATTGTTTCAGGAGAAGGACTGGATGCCAAAGTTCGCTCCGTTGCCTCGATCTTGGAATCCCAGGGAAGTGGTCCGCTGTAAGCTCGCGGGAGAAAAAGGTTTTTATTGTTTGTGTTGAGGTTGCAGGCGGGCTCTATGAAGCAAGCTCCAAGGCCACCCACAGGCACTCCTTGCAGAAGAGT